TTCAAATTACCGAAAGGGCCAAAGGCCTGAAAGGGAGATGCCCTGTAGGTCAGAGACTCGGACTAAGCTCAAAAAATATTTTTTTATCCGCTTTTTGTGAAAGAAAAAAATGTGAGTCTGTTTGGAAGCGCTGCAGTAGTGGACTTACCTTGTACTTGGCTCGCTCCTCGCGGAGGGCCTTCTGCTGCAGCTTGAGCTGCTCCCGCAGAGCCACGCGCTCGCGTCGCGCCGACGCCTCCTTGTCCTTGAAGGCCTTGAGCTTGGTGGCGAGCAGCTTGAGCTCGCGCTGCACCCTCCGCTCCTGGGCCTCCGGGTCGTTGGACAGGTCCTCCTCCTTCTCCTCCTCACTCGAGTCGGTGACGGTCTCATCTGTATACTCGGACTCACTCTCCTCCTCGCCCTCCGGCACCGGGATGGACTGCTTGCGCATCTCGTTCAGCCGCGCCTGCGACACTGAAGACAAAGGGCTCAAGTGTAAGAAACATCTGGACCTACGTGCCGACACGCCCACGACAAATGCGACTCACTCTGTTTCCGGATGTCGCCCGACTTGGACGAGATCAGCTTCTTTGAGAGCTGCTTCTGCAGCGCCCGCCCGCCCTCCACGAGTCCGTCCTCGATCTCCTTGAGCTGCTTCTCGGCCTGCTTCTTCTGGAACAGCGCCTCCTGCAGCTGGGCCTTGGTGGCGTCCAGCTCCTCGGCCGCCTTGTGGTAGCGGCCCTCCATCTCCTTGGACACCTTCTGCTGGGCCTCGTTCTCCTCCTTGAGCTTGGCCACGAGGCCATCAGTGTCGGGCGCCGGGCCCTGGGCAGCGCCGCCGCCGCCGCTCGGCCGGTTGCGCTCCGCCTCCAGCTCGGCCTCCAGGTTGAGCAGCCGCGCGAGCAGCCGCTTGTTCTCCCGCTCCAGGGCCTCCTTGTTGCGCAGCTCGAGCGCCAGCATCTGCTTGGTGGACTGCAGGTCGTCGCGCACGCGGTCGATGTCGTCCAGCTCGTCCGGCTCGTCGTCGATCTCCTCGGGCGCGGCGCCCACCATGTTGGCGACCGAAGCCGTCTTCTGGAGCTGCTCCTCGATCGTCATCTGCCGCCGGAACTTCCGCAGCCCTGCAGGGTGAGAGACGGAGGGGTTAGGGGTGTGCGAATGTGAAAAACCTTACCCCGTTAAGTTTCCAAGCGCGCACCATCGAGCACAGGTCTGCTCCTGTCGTTACACTTGACCCGCTTCAGTCTGACGCCGGTCTCGATCTGTTTGAGCAGCTGGTTGTGCACGGTGGACTTCTCAGAGTCGTACAGGAACTGGCCCTTGGTCTTGGAGCTGGGCAGCAGTGGCTGCGACCGGTCGTTGCACACGACCTTCTTGAGCCGCTTGCCGCCCTCAATCTCCTTCATTAGGAACGAGTAGTCGGGGCGTTTGCGCGCCCGGTTGCGGAGCTGCGCCAACTTCTCCTCCTGCGATTTTGTCAGAGGCTTCCGGTCTACAAAAAGACAAAAATCAATTTGTTCTGAGAACTATTTTTTTGATCATCAAGTCCATCAAACACCATAAGCTGTTCCGCAGGGGACCAGCAAGCTAGTTTGGGGATGGAGGGACACACACCTGCGAGGATCGGGGGAGGGGGAGGCGCCATGGGAGGCGCTGGT